TATATAATCTTATTTCGCTTTTCTACTGCCAGTCGACCTTCGGCCGAATTTTTGTAGACTGAATACTTTCTATCTGTCCTCTACAGGAAATACACTTTCTCTCCGTCTTCCGAAGACAGTAACTCTTCTATTGAACATCCATAGAAAGAAGATATACCGTCGATCATCTATAGGAAGAAGATCTTCTATCGGTCATATATAAGTTCTATATACAGGAGAACCTCTATCGTTCCCATACACACGAAATATTATATCGGTCTTCCATAGACAGAATGTCTTCCAGTGGACTTTTATGGACAAAAGATCTTAAATTGAACAATCATAGACAGAAGATATTCTATTTACAGGGAAGCCTCTTCCATATACAAACAATTTTACATCGGTATACATAGACGTTAGACCTTTATTGACCATTTATCGGTCCTCCGTCTTCTATAGACTGAAGACCTTCTTCATGCTGACGAACTTCTATCCATATCCATAAACGAATACCATATGTCGTCATCCATAGACTGGAAGACTTCTGTCGGTCTCCCATAGACCTGAAATCTTTCAGTCGTTATTTTATAGACAGAAGAACTCCGGTTCTTGTTCTACCAATCTTCCATAAGCAGAAGACCTTTCATCGATCTCTTATAGGTTGAATATCTTCTTTATACAACTGAACATATACCGCTTTTCAATAAATATATGACTTTTATCGGCCCTCTAATGCCTCTAATACATAATGCCTTCTATTGGCCTACCAGAAGAAGAAAATCTTCCTATGGGCTTTTATAGATACACAGAAGCCCTTTATGTCGGTGTTCCATTGATACTTTATAGACGGAAGGCCTTTTTATGCAGTCGAACCTCTATTGGACTTTCATAAACAGAACCTCTTCTACCAAATTCGCATAGACAAAAGACCTTACATTGGATTCTATGCAAATAAGACCTTATATTTGTTAGGCACAAGTTCTTATGTATGCCCATAAATCCCGTTCTTCAATAAACAAAAGACCATCTATCGGTCTCCAAAAAACGGAGTATCTTCTATAGCCAGAAGGTCTTCCTTCGAGCCAAAGCGCTATCGGTCTTCTACAGAAGGAGGACTTCATATGGGTTCTCTATAGATAGAAGAATATATTTTTTGATATTAAAAAAATACTTTTTAGATAATCGACCTTCCTTTCGGTCTTTTGTCTGTAGTTATGGTTTTCTGAATTTCCACATTTATGCGCGGTTTTGTGATAAAAAGTTGATTTTTGTACAAAACAATCTTCGAGGCAACTGCATGCTTGAATTTGCAAAAAATATTTTTGGATGACAGTTATAAGGAGGCCTTTATTTGATGTTTTCTAAAGAAAACTAAATAGGAAACATTTTGCGTACTTTCTACAATATAACGTCTATCGGAAAATCCCATCACAAAATCTCCTATAAAGAATGAATTTAAAAGGTCTTCTATAAACAAAAAAATTGTATATATAACTTTATAATATCCTCCACAACCGTCGATATCTGAAAGGTTATTTTCCATTCCGAACTTATGTTATGTTTGTCATCATCTTAAATAAAAAAACTCTTCATCCACAACTAAATAAAACTTCCAACTCGCAATACTCCTCCAAAGCAGAAGGTGATATTTAATTTATTTCCTTTCCTCTACACCTCCATCGCCCCTGCTGATGAAGTTCCACCAACTGGGTGTCAGAAAATAAAAATAAAAACAGTTATTAAAACAAAATAAAAGCGATTATTAAAACAAAAGGTACTCCAACCTGAAATTGGGACAAGTTACTAACCTAAATAACCCAAAATGAGAAAGGGAGAAGTATACAAATAAAACAGAATAAAAAAATACAAAGAAAAATGTCAAAATGTTGACATAATTTCAAAAATCAACAAACGGTAAAGTTGCAGTAGCATCGTCAGCAGATAATAGCCACAATACACTACCACACACACACACTTCCGTTTCCGCCCTAATGAGTAAGGCGAGTGAGATGATGAAAACAAGAAAAAAGTTTAAAATGTGTCTGTGGTTGACGTTGGTTTTTGAAGGCGGATGTTGGTCTTTGATATAAATCCATTGGCGTAATAGATGACACATCTAAAATTCAACAAAATGTAACACCTTTGTTACGGTAGGTGTTACTTTAGTAATTAGCTGTGGAATTATTTCCGGATGGAATAATGTTGGTAAAGCATGGATTTGATGGAACCGATTTTATTTCCTATTCGTATTTAAGAAGAATGACACTTTTCTTAAATAACAATATATGTAAGCATCGAACCTATGGAATGATAGGGGCAGGAAAGATATTAAAGCACAGCCCGATAACGCTTTGGTCTCGAAACAAAGAATAATGACTCAGTTAATCTCCTGAAGAAGAACGGCTGTCTTTGTTTAAGTCCGAAGAGCATTCATACAGTTATGATATGAATATCTGTAGTGCGATTCTGTAACTGCTTAACGACAGAATTACCGACGATTGTCGATAACTTTAAATTTTTAATTGCTTAACAGCAACTGCCCAATTGTCATAACCTTGGATTTCAGTTTCGAGGTTGGGTTTGCAGGGGGAGGATATACCTTATCAGCTTTCTTGGAGGCCTTTTCGGATGATGGTGTCAGGGCTTTCTTAGCTCTCAATTTTCCTTTGGGGGGGTACTGAAGGCTCAGCCACCAACGTCCTAGTTGTGCTCGGTCCATTCACAGTCTTATTCTCTTTTGGAGGAACTAACGTGGTGGACTTCGCTCGTGGTGTAGGAATCGTATCAATCAAGAAGTTCGGGTAGTTCATGGAGAACTTCCGAATGAATTTCAGGTTCCTCTTGATCGGTAGGAACTTCATATCCGTTACCACGGTAAGGACTCGGTAACTAAGCCTAAACAACTTGTTGAGGCGCCCAGGTATCAACAAGGCTCCGTTCTAATGCAGTCGGGACCCTAACTCCAACGTTATGGGAGTCACTTTGGAAGGTAGTGACTCAAAACCTCACACGTAGATATTTAGAGGCACCAATCTCGCCTCATCAGTTCAGGGATCATGGTCACAGAGGGTGGGTTTGCAGAGGAAGGTTGTGCCTTATCAGCTTTCTTGGAGGCGTTTTTACGGGCTCGCCTTCGGATGATGGTGTCAGGGCTTTCTCAAAAATACGGCTCCAAAGAAAAAGATTTTAGTGGGGATTTGTGGTCGGCCATGGTAAGGACTCGCCAACTAAGCTTGAACAACTTGTTGAGTAATTTAATCGTAGAGCACTGATTGGCACGAGGTCGCTTGACAACCCAGCGGTGAGAACTTCCGAATGAATTTCAGGTTCCTCTTGATCAGAAGAAACTCCTTATCCGTTATTGAGTCTCTGTCCCGTCCGATAAATCGGTTGCAATAGTTAACCGATCTCCGGTAAATATTCTTGTTAGATATCTCTTTGGAATTCTTTCGTTTGATGCTTCCCCGTTCTGAAGATCCATCCATTTTTACGATGGGAGCTCATCAGCCCCAGTCTCCACTTCGACAGCCGACTGCCTAAGAAATCTCGGGATGATTTGTTAAAATTCGGCTCCATATAAAAAATTTTAGTGAGGGGGCATAGCCTTTCACCATGGTAAGGACTCGGCAAATAAGCCTGAACAACTTGTTAAGGCGCCCAGGTGTCAACAAGGCTCCGTTCTAATACAGTCGGGACCCTGAATGCAAACCGTAGAGCACTAATGGGTCGCTTGACACCCCAGCGTTAAGGGGGAGGTAGTAACCCGAAAACTCTGATATGGACATTTAGAGGCCCACCCTCGCCTCGTCAGTCCAGGGATCATCCGGTCATTTCCCCCGAGACTCTCCCCCTGGACCCGCTGATTGTCCGCGACTGTTTATTTGATATTCATAGCTACCCAAAGAATAATATTGGGCTTCCGACTATGCGCAACCTGTGGCCGCTTCCGTTAGGATTCAGCTCTGCTTCCCGAACGCGGATATTGGATACTGACATTTAGTTTCAATAGAATATCAAAATCCACCCGCAACAATTCAACGAATTGTGTTGGTTGGACTGAAACATTCGATGTAATTAATACGGGAAGGGATCTCCGACTACCCTATATTTAATTCCGATTTCGATTCGATCAATATTTTCAGGAAAGACATTTCGACTTCTATCGCCCCCCATGAGCCTAAATTTTCAATGTAAAATGGTGTAAATCAATGTGGTTTCAATAGAGCAGTTTGTGTCGACTGATCATTTCACTCTCCGATTATTACTTCATCCGACGGTCTAACGTTCTGTCTCCACTGCACCAAGTTCTCATTTTCGCTGTTTTCGAACACCCCGGTTTACTCAACGGCACTGTTTTTTCCTGAATAATTCGATTTTGATTATTCTAAGAAAATCCACATGAAGTAACCACATTCCGATCGCGAGTCATCTAAGGAATACACAATATAGATTGGTTAGAATCTACTGTCTAATTTCGCCTCCATCCAATTATTTCTTATTTTAACACCAGTACACAAATTTCTCGTCATCTCTTTTATGAGGTTTGTTGAGATTTGCTTCTGATGGATTTCTTGATGGCAATCTCTAAAAAAATACAAAAACATTTCCTAATTAAATATTGTACAATTATTTATTGTTCAAATTCATTTTAAAATTGATGAAATCTATAATCATTTACATTATTATTAATTTTTCTGTTTTTGTAAACTGAATACATTATTAAAACTAACTATATAGTAAAATGTTGTGAAATTATCAATAAAATTGTAATTTATATAATACAAAAATTAATTATGTAATTATATAAGGTAGACAAGAATATGTATAACTAAAAGTTTTTTGCAAATAGAAACAAATGTTTAACAAAATGAAAAAAGAACTTCCAAGAAATATTAAATAATGTGAGAAGGTAAAAAGCAGAGAACCTGAGAACAATAAAAATAAATGAATGATTAAAAACATCTATTTAGATAAAATATCACCCAGATTTGGGAAGAAGGAGAAGACCTAATGACTTAATTTCTATCTTTGTAAATTAATTAAGGCAGCACATACTATCAGCACCTCATTGAGATACTGATAGACAAATGACTCTTTAATTGCCAAGGGTTGTAAGATACGAAACTCCTGCAGACTATCGATCATGTGACGCATTTGTGCACGACACACCGGTTCTCGAACACGCATTGTTGGTACACTAAAGTTCTTGAGACGCCTTGAGGTTAGCTCCTTATTGACAACCGTTAAACTTTGATTAGAGGCCAGCTCACCAGCTACACGTGATGCTGTATATTTACTCAGACGACCATCTTGTGAAGATTCATCGTGTATTAGATCATCTGCCGATTCATCGGCTGAGTCTGTTGTTGAATCCGTTTCACCATTATTATTTATACTGGGTATTTTAAGTTGCTGCTGTTGATGATGTGGTCGTTGTGGGTTGGTTTTTGGTTTACGTTTTCTCCTCACCGCTTTGCCAGGGTCGGCCATTAATGAGAGATATTTTGGTATAACATCTTTGAAGTTGGATGCTTTGAAAATTGTTAAATCGTCATTGTGACCAATAAAGGCATCCGAAACATGTGAAATAATACCTGAAAAGAAAAAAAGGTAGAATAAATATCAAATTCGTATTTTTGAATTAAAATATATAGAGGATATAAAATTAAATTAGTTATAAACATCAGGTAAAATTGCTTTTAAGGGGCCGAGCTTAATAAATTATTCGAAACTAGTTTATTCCTATAGGACGACCTAGCCAATTATATTACGGTTTAAGTGGCGCTCAGTACAGACAGTGGATCAATGAACGTTTACAATTCTCCAATTCTCTAGTGTCATGTGGCCCTAGTAGTGGCATTAGGTGTTAACCAATTCATGCGTAATTGAGGCGATTGTATCATCCTGATCTTAGCTCGATTCTCTTGGTCTTCCTATCAGCTGATATTCTTCTGATATAAAAGAAGAAAGGTCCCTGAGTATACCATTCATACGTTATCGTTTTAATGGCTGAAAGTTGTTCAGGTCTGCCTTGAAAATCTAGAGGCTCACTTTTTATCTATAGACATATAATATATCCGAACTGGCCTGGTTGAGAAAGTCTGTCCATTAGACTGTTATAGTTATATTCCCAAACATAACACTTAAGCAGACGACACAAAAAGCTTTTTGGTGATCGGAATTCGATTACAATGCACCATTATTCAGCGGTCCTAAATCCACTCAACAAATCAAAAATATAAACCCTATATAGGCCTCAAACCAAATTGGGGGGTGAGTTCCGTTTAGCCCAAATTGTGTGTGAATATATTTATAGGGGTGCGTATCGGCAATGAGTGCTTTATAGAGTTTAGTATATGTGACAAGGTGCCCAATAGAAGTTCGTATCGGAGGCTTTATAGGGTCCGTTTTGGTGAGGCAGAGCTCTATATGGTACCGCATCAGTGAAGATGACCTAATCTCAGATTCTTATTGGGGGCATGGAACTTTATAGAGTTACGTATCGATTATGAGGGCTTTTAAAAGTAAATTCAAGTGATGAGGGGCTCTATAAACGTCCCCATATGTAGTAAGGAGCTTTATAGTGTTTCGTTTAGCCCAAATTTGGCGTGAGTACAGTTATGGGGGTTGCGTTTCGCCAATGAGCGCTTTATAGAGGTCAGTATATGTAATGAGGATACCCATAGAAGCTCGAATCGGTGGTGAAGACCTCTATAGCGATTCGTTTTGGTGAGGCAGAGAGAGGTTATGTTGGGCTATATTGAATTAAGTTCATGTGATGAGGAGGTCCATGAAGGTCCACATAGGTGGAAAGGATGTCAGTGAATATAGGTCAGGGAATCTGTATAGAGAGAAGCAATATGTAAGCCTTTTCTTTTTTTAAATTCTGCATTGGTGGTGAATTTTTGTGACCATGAGCTTTATAAGGCTATATTTTTGTGGTGAGTAGCTTATAGTTCCGTAGGGCCCTCTGTATATCCTATTGAGGTCCACATTGGACTAAAACAGCTATATAGAGGTCCATATTGTTGGTGCGTAGCTATATAGAGGTTCGTATTAAATGGATTTTTATAAAAAAAGTATGAGGTGAGGGGCTCCGAAGATGTCCATATTGCTAATGAATAGCTCTATAAAAGTCAATGGGTTGTGATTTGATGCTCATGATAAGGAAAGCCTATATATTGCTATGCTGACGTAAGGAAGAATTATTAGATCCTCATGTAGATGGTTCATTAGCAACCTGCTAATATTCTTTGCGGAGCTCTGAGAAGCCTTTCTTATTTTCCAATGCGTAACACATTATGTCCCCAGAATTTTAAGGTAATTTGTGATGCTATTGTATGTCCCTTAAATCTGAACATTTAGGGATGGGACTTGAACTTCAATAACTCAATAACTTGACACTTTGAAATTAAATAAAATTTAGTATCTTTCTAATTCAATTTATTTTACTTACCATTAGTATTTATGCTTAATATAAACTTATAGCAGGCACAATCAATCTGCAGTGGTCCCGGTGCAATATCAATTTCCACACACTCGATTAACGATTGTACATGGGAGAGATTTTGTCGATATGCAAATGGTAAATATTTATGACGTTCATAGTATTTCTTACTATCGGGCCAGTTTATCAAATATCTTAAGTAACGTGCCAATCTCACAACCGTTCTTGCAAATACATGCTGCACCTCACCCTCGGACATTTCAAAGTATTCTGCGAGTAGTGAAAAATCTTCGTTTTGTTTCAATTTTTTCAATGTTATATAGCAATCGACTAATGTCACATTAGCCGTGGAGCAAATGATATTTTTAAGCAGCGGCAAGCGTGTTGGTGTTATACCCAAATGTATAAGCGGATTCTTTTCAATTAATTCCACAGTTATTGTGCGTATAGTACGTTCAGGTATATCACGTTTGAGAATAAATGTGGGTCTACGAATTTGAGCCGATGCTACGGGAGATACAACAGCAGATGATGTTAGATTTTGTGTCAGACGTGTTGTAGTGCCATTGGAGTTTTGTAAACTACTGGCACTAGTCGCCTTGATAATTGTATTTGGTGGCAGTGAGCTGATGGCTGCTCCAATTTGTTGCTTTTTGTTTGTGGTTGTCGTACTGTCACCGCCAATGGTCTGTTGCCATTGAAAACTTGTTAGTGGTGTTCCCGCTGAGGCTATGGTTTGTAGAGAATATTTTGGAGTCTTATGGACAATGTCTGCTGCAAGAGAGAAATGAAGTAAAGCATAAATAAAACCGCACATTGTAAATAATCACAAAATATACATTACCTCCAGTTACTGTACTTGCCCGCTTCATGGCTGGCTTGATAATTGCCGGTATTTTATTGATAACAAGTCCAGTTCTGCTTCCAAGTTTTATTAATGATTTCTGTGAAGAAAATGAATATTCATTTTAATAAAATATTAGCACAAATATTTAAATAATTTATCAACATTAACCACAAGGTCTGCTTCACTAAACAAACACTAACCCTGAAGAAATTACTTCGATTATGGGTCTCTTCTCCACTTAGTTTTATAGATCATGCATGTTTATGTTAAAATAGCAAAGGATTTTATGTAATTCTTATAAAATTATTAACAAATTTTGTTAAATAAAATAGAAAACAAATTTTTGTGATTTATCCCTGTCAACAGCATGCACGAATTGGCAGAGACGGACGCGTTCCCATTGCAGTGCTGTCAAACAATATATTTGTCTCTTTTCTATGGTATCCCTCTGTGAAATGATAACATAGCAATGTCATTCATTGTGAATTGATAACACAAGAGTGGTTAGAAATTGCAAGAGGGCTGCCACACGAAGTTTATTGAAAGAAATTATTTGTTTTTAACAAAATTGAAAATAATAGTTAAATATTGAAAAATAGCCAGATATTGTAGAAATATGCATAAATTAGCCTGCATTAGGACGAAAGGAATGGTCTTTATGCTGACAAAATGGGGCTAAATTCGTAAAATAGCTCCAATCGGCATTTTGAGATTAATTTCTGTTGGAAAATGAGAATAAAAGCATAAACGGGTCTTAAAACGAGGTGTACATTTAAGTTAGGGCCATATCAAAATATTTTATTAGACTTACATTCCAGTATTTAGCAAAAAGGTATTGGAAAATGCTCCCAAGACTATACATTTTCCTAAAATGGTTTGAAGGCTATGTCAAATCATGGACGGTTTTCTGTGAATATTTGTTCCCACCAAAGACCTAGAATACCATCGAAATGACTAAAATCGGGAGGGTTTGTTTATGTAACATTTTAACAAAAAATATTTTCGACTCTCCAAGAACCCGGATTGTCAAATTTCAGACCGTTCGGTTAAAAATGTGGTGTACCTTTATATGGAAGCTATACCTTCCCTAGACAGACAGTCTGACATCCAGATTTAGATGCAGTTCTCATACACATTTCCTCAAATTCTATATAAATGATTTACAAAAATGCAATGCAAGGACATTTTTGCACGGCAGATCGAGTCTAGGCGTTTTGGAAAATTGTGTTCATCGATATGGAGTGAGTTTTAAAATTTTCCATAAATAGTCCTACTGGTCTCGATTCTAATTTGTAATTTGCTATCCTTTTTCAAGCGGTTGAAATCCTGATTACTAAAATGTAATTATGTTATAGAATAAGTCCATTTCATTCCAGTGATATGGACCTCCGAAGTTCGGTAAATACGGATCACATATCGTTTGAAATTTGTATCGTTGAATGTTATCCTAAAGGTCCTTTTTTTCTTGCCAAAGTCCAGAGACATTGACCTACAAGTTTCCGTTGGGAAATGGAGGGGTACCTTTATATGGAAGCTATACCCTCCCGAGACAGACAGTCTGACTTCCAGATGTAGATGCAGTTCTCATACATATTTTCCAGTTTCTATGTAATTGATTTACAAAAATGCAAGGCAAGGACATTTTTGCACGGCAGATCGAGTCTAGGCGAATGGGGTGAGTTTTACAATTTTCCATAAATAGTTCTACTGGCCCCAATTCTATTTGTAATTTACTATCCTTTTTTAGAATAAGTCCATTCCAGTAATATGGACCTCCGAAGTTCGGTAAGTACGGATTACAGATTGTTTTGAAATTTTTATAATTGAAAGTTATCCTATGGGTCCTTTTTCCTTGCCAAAGTCCAGAGGGTATGTTTAACTTTGGTAAAAAAAAATACGTTTTCTGGCCTTAAAGAAAAATAATCAAAAAGGATTGAACATTAATGTTGGCTTAACTCTAGTTTAGTAAAAACGATCAGATTTTTCTGAAAATTTTTTCAGAGTTAGGTATTTTTACCCTAATTATGGGGATATCTTTTTTTCTTGGGGGACGTACCCGGTTACCCGGTTATTTGACCCGGAAGTTCGGGTACGGGTACCCGGTTATATCCGGTTCTACGGATCCGGTTAATATAATATGGGTATCATTTTAAAGGTTATAAAAATACCTTTCCATTGAGTGGTAATATGATGAGGTTATCTCAAACCATTTTAGAGATATAGTCAAAAATCTGGGTTTTGGTCCCCGATTTTTTTGAAAAACTCCCTAAAAGTCGAACTTGGGCCCATTATAGTACCTCTCTAACCCAAACTCAAATAATAGACCACAATTTGCCCTTTCCAAAATGGTGCGATATGTGGCTGTATCTGTTGTGGATCAAAAGATATGGGCCTTAGAACCCTACAAAAACAAGAAAATTCTGTCGCGTAGCCGGTGTTGGTATCTGTCCATAGGAGAAAGTCTTAAATCCCCGGCCGAAGGCCGGCTACACAAAAAATATTCTATTTAGAAGGATTTTCTGCCGCGTTAGCCGGTGTTGGCATCTGTCCATAGGAGAAAGTCTTAAATCCCCGGCCGAAGGCCGGTCACCCAAAAAAATATTCCATTTAACAAGAGATTCTGTCGCGTAGCCGGTGTTGGTAGCTGTCCATAGGAGAAAGTCTTAAATACCCGGCCGAAGGCCGGCTACACAAAAAAATATTCTATTTAGAAGGATTTTCTGCCGCGTTAGCCGGTGTTGGCATCTGTCCATAGGAGAAAGTCTTAAATCCCCGGCCGAAGGCCGGTCACCCAAAAAACACCATGCTATTTAAAAGGAGATTCTGTCATGTAGAAAGATTTTCCTTGTTTTATAGGGTTCTAAGGCCCATATCTTTTGATCCACAACAGATACAGCCACATATCGCACCATTTTGGAAAGGGCAAATTGTGGTCTATCATTTGGGTCCTGTTTGGAGAGGGACTATAATGGACCCAAGTTCGACTTTTAGGGAGTTTTTCAAAAAAATCGGGGACCAAAACCCAGTTTTTTGACTATATCCCCAAAATGGTTTGAGATAACCCCATCATATTACCACTCAATGGAAAGGTATTTTTATAACCTTTAAAATTATACCCATATTATATTAACCGGATCCGTAGAACCGGATATAACCGGGTACCCGTACCCGAACTTCCGGGTCAAATAACCGGGTAACCGGGTACGTCCCCCAAGAAAAAAAGATATCCCCATAATTAGGGTAAAAATACCTACCTCTGGAAAAAATTTCAGAAAAATTTGATCGTTTTTACTAAACTAGAGTTGTTCCTTAATGTTTTTTAATATTTGTTTGTACCAAAGGTTGTACCAATCAGAATTTATAATCTTCCCCCGCTTTTTGTTCTTGTCAATGAATATGGTGAATAAACTATTTTTAACAATTGCACTACATAAACGGCTAATAAGCAAATTGGAGCACCCATCCAATCCCCCTTTTACCCACCACACACACACGCACAAACTATATGTATGCACTTACAATTTTCTTTTCGTACCTTATTTGAGTCAGCCGTCGACGACGACTGCGATGATGATTGATTTTGTTTACTAGATTGTTGTTGTTGTTGCTGAGTTTGCATTTTACTTCTAATTAATATTGAAGGGGTGGCATTTGTTGTTACACCTGCTCCTGCCCCACCTCCACCACCTGGGCCAGGTTTACGATATTTAACAACAGTTAATGCCATTTCGTTTTGTATTTGTTGTTATGTGACACTAATTGGGCAGCAACAACAATGTACAGCAGACAAACCCCACTTTTTGCGCCAATTTTCTTTGTTTTTTTAGTAAATTAAAAACTTTTGTTGAATTTCTTAATTCAATTATTAAAGTATGTATTATATACACATATTTTTATTTTGTTAATTAATTTCACTTCGTTTTAAATTGAATAATTATTTTTTTTCGTTATTCTCCCGAGCAAAATATTTTTGCACTGAATTGCAGTTGTTGTTCTTTTTGCAAATAATAGATATTTATAGTGTGGTGAAAAGAAACAATTCTTGCTTCAGGTGGCATCTCTGTGCTGGTATTTTTGTGTGGAGAAAAAGTTAACCATTAAGAGGGTTGCCCAGTAAATGTAATGTTATGTTTACATTAAATGACATTTAATAAATCGTTTTCATATGAATGTAAATTTTATAGAATAGTTTTCAAATGCATAATATAAATTATTAGAAAAATTATAATATATTGTTGTCCATTCTTCGGGTAGTAAGCAATTCCGGGTATTATGGAATTCAGCGGTTTCACAGTAATGCGATTTTATTTTAGATGATATTTTAACCGATAAAAAATACGAGAGATATTTTAAGACTTTGGAGGGACCCAAGGAACTTTTTTTAATATAAAATTTGGCACCGGATGAACTTTATTTAAAAATAGGTCCAGAAATGGATATAACTCTCATAAATATCTGGATATTCCATAAAAATGGTGCACTAAAGATTCTGCACTTGTCCGATTGCCAAGGAATTTCCTGTTTTTAAATAACATTCGATATAGGTCCATGTTTCAGTCGCATTTTGAGCACTTTTATTATTATATGTGGATCCGCGCTGTTATCTGCAATTCTTGGAGAATAAAAACGTCTTCGAAGAACAATTTTGTAGGTTCCGCCTCATTTTAGGTATTTTAATGATTTTAGCCGCATTTCCAACCATTGTGGTTACAAGTAGGATTTTCAGGATCACAGAGGTTTTATTAACGAAAAATTGTCAATGTAGTTCTGATTGTGGAGTTCCGATAATAATTTCAGTCCGGTTGAATTTAAAAACATTTTTCTAACAATGCTTTCGTACATGTCCACAATTTGCGGATGATGGAAAGCCCAATGCATTTGTAAGATAACTGCGAATTATATAAGCAATAGTGGAGAGTCAACGGGTCCAAGAAAAGGTTCTCAGGTTGGCATAGGTAACTTATTTGGTCCAAGGACGAACTCTATTGAAATTGGAGAAAATCGGTTCAGATTTAGATTTAGCTCCCATATATATTTTCATCCGATTTAATGTAAATGGTACCAATGTCCCTATATATCCTAAAAATTGGTCCAGATTTAGATATAACTCCCATATATATTTTCGTCCGATTTAATGTAAATGGTGCACCAAAGTCCCTATATATCTTTCGATTTGCACGAAATTTGGCACAGCGTAATTAATTAGTCTAGAATGTTGTGTGCTAAGTTTCCTAAAATCGGTTCAGATTTAGATTTAGCTTCTATATCTGACCAAATGAAAAATTAAGTATCGGTTGCAGAGTGGCATGTTTATGGATCTTGTGAACAAAGTACAGGTTACATTTATGATCTGAATTGGATGAAATTTTACCCAAGAACGACCCATATTGAAATTGGTGAAAATAGGTTCAGATGTAGATATAGCTCCCACATATATTTTTGCCCGATTTTAAAAAACAAATATACAGTGTGGTCTTTCAAAAATGCGACGTCTGTTAGGATGCATCTGCTGAATACACCCAGGGTTGTGAAGGGTATCATATAGTCGACTTTAATTCCTTATTTACTGGTTAGATATGACCTTTTTGGTGTGAATTTTTAGGGAAAGTCCTACTAAAAGTTTTAATCACACAACGTAATTATGAAATTCATTATTAATCTATTACGGAACGTGCAGAAATCTAATATTTTTGATTTTTTTCTTTAGAAATTATGAACGTGTTTCTAGATACTGCGTTCGAGATCGTACATATATAATTTGTTTGATAATGTTGAGATACTCTGAAGACTTTTTTCTAAATTCGACATTGCATTGTCAGCTGAAGAGGTGTATTATTGGCCCCATTTCGCATGTTGAAAGGGTGGGCGGTGTCGTGTCATCAAATCATCTTTAATAGAAATTTATGCGGGTGCATCATCTGGATTGTAAGCATGCTAAGGCTACTGGTGCTTGTCTTAGCAGTTGCTATATACAGTATAGGTCTTTTGTATCTGGATGCTTGTTTTTTGGCTATCTAAAAATTTAAATTTACAAAGGTTTAACAACAAAAGCATACTCTGACATACTTCATTCATTTTGTTTATTACACCTTTGTAAAAAAACGGAATATTCATGATAAACAATGTATTACTCTTTACTTACTTCTATAGCTTTTGTAATTGAAATCCATGTACAACCCTTCCAATTTAGTTGAGTACACATCTATAAAATACTTATATTCAGTTTCAATTTAGAGACGAACAAATACACTCCCTAACCACACATTCATATATACTACTCTCCGTTCTTAAGGGCAAACCCTATAATTTGCAATTTGCCCCATGGGGGCAACATTATTGTTGTGGTTAAAGATCAGTGATCTGTAAATGAAAGGGCACCAAAATCAACACACAAATTAAAGTTTCCTCAACAGAATAATAAAGACGGTAATGGAAGGTGGGGGCGGAGGGGGATATTAAAGACAATCAGCATTATGTTGTAATTTGTTCAATTGAAGAAATGCTGTGTTGTGGGTCAGCCGGATGATCAAATCGAAAGTAGGTAATTGTGTTATTTTCTCTTATTGTAATTGTAAGAAATTTTTACACGCAAAAGAATTGCTCAAAAAAGTGAATGGGATTTATGTTTGTAATAAAGACAGACTGAAAGGGGCAAGAGGAAAGAAAATGAGTTCAGTATATTGGGTTAAGAAAGAAAGTTGAAAATAAAAAATATATCTAAAAGAAAATGTAGGAGGTTATTATTAGCAAATGTCCGTTCAGAGACCATTTGAACTCCGCCATCCTTCTGAAATCACGATAGAGCTCACAATATTTAAGATAGAGTTGTGGAATTTTGCACATACATTGATACTACTCGTAGAATGTTTGGAGTATATGTATATACCGGGATATAGCAGTCAACGTTATTGAAATGGAAACAAATAAGCGTACCTAAAATTTTTACGAATTATTAGGGCATCAAACGTATTTACCAATGGAAGTGACTGTATTATAGCATTTCGGTATCTGAATTTATAAAAAATTCGGCCAAACCAAATGACATTTTTACTTATTTATTTTCATATCAAACTTTTTTCATTCTACTTTTCATTGGATACTATGAGAGTATTGTGATTTTTATGCTAATTAAAAATACATTTGCAACAAATATTTGGGGCTTTCCAGTGTTTATTATTTCAATATTTATTTACATTTTCGGATCATGTATACGATCAAAATTTTCCGCTAACGAAAATAAAATACAAATGAATATTCGTACATTAAATAATTCCCTCAAATGCAATAATTTGTCGTTCGCCCAACTGCTACGTTTTTTTAGAATACATTGACTGCATTTGCAATTTAATATTGTTTGAAATAAAAGAGCCTTATTTACAAAAAACAAAAAAAAAAAGAAAAAATAATAAAAAAATATATCGGAAACCTTCTCATAACAATACTTATTTTTTTTATAATACAACTCGTGTCATCTGTATAAATATGTGTCACTACTGTTTAGACTGTAGCGTCTGTTTATAATAAATAGATAAACGATGTGGGTTAAGAAATTATGTAAAATATTGAACAAACAATATTGGCATTACTCTCCATACTAAATTTTTAAAAGGAACAATAAGATTTGGCGTTTAAGAAATAATGTTTAAGATGCGGTTGCAGATGATTTTTTGAATATTTTACCAAAGACCTTCAGATGTAGATCAGTCAGATGGGGATAATCGGCTCTGGGCGGTTCTATAAAATAGTCAACAAATGATTTTGCAGAAAATGCGTTTTAAGTTTTCAATCGATTAACACAAGGAACAGGGGAACTTCTACAGCTTCTCAATCGGAGTGTGTAAGAGATATTCATCTGAATTTTTTTACAGAACAATTCTGCATCATAGACCCAAAAATCATGATTTTTAATTTATGACTGTCTTGCAGCAAATGAGCGATAAATTGTAAACATTTTTCCCAATTAATTGTATATCCATGTTTTTGTATACCTCCCATAAAACGATACCGCCCAATTTTTGGTATTTTTGAGGTTATGATTATGGCTTTTAACCAAATTTTCCCAACAAGGTGGATATAATTTAACATTCTGGGATTTTGGAGTCTGACATACGTTCTATATTTGAAAATAACACTAATATAAAGTCCCCGCCCTATTTTCAGTATTTTAAAGGTTTTAGTCGAATTTTCCCTCCAAAATTTAGGTATTTTAGGGTTTTAGCCACATTTTCAACCGAAACATTGTAAACAACATATTTGCAGAAAATTCAGATATATGTCCATGTTTGGACATATCCCCTCATATAAAAGTCCCGGTATATTTTCGTTATTTTGAAAGTTATAACCGAATCGAAGAGGGCGTGATTTGGCATTTCGGGTTTTTGGATGGTGAAAAACATTTCTGAAGAAAATTTGTGATATGGGTCCATGTTTTGTAATCGAATCCACATAAAACGACCAAATAACACTAATTTGGCATTCCAGGTTATTGCAGGGTGAAATATATTCTCTGAAAATTGCCTATATAGATCCATGTTCTGATATATCCACCATATATAAGTTTCGGCATTTGTCGTTATTTAGACTGCATTTTCTCATTAAAGTGGCTGTGATTTGGCATTTCGGGTTCTTGGATGGCGAAAAACTTTTCTGACGAAAATTTTCAATATGGGTCCATGTTTTGTAATAGAACCCATATAAAATGAAATGAACATTTTCTGGCAAGCCCCC